AGGCTGATGTATTATTTTCAAGTCAGTGAGAGTTTTGCATCTTTTGGGTCTCCAAAGTGATGGGATTCAATTTTTTTAAATGATGAATTAATTATTTTGGCAAATGAGCCTTTCCTAGCATTTTTTTACCCATATTTGATTTTTGCCTTTATGCACGTTAACTGTGTCTTCCATCAGGCTGGAAAATATTGTGTTAGGTCGATATTACAGTACAGTATATAAAAAAGCTTCCTGGAATGTTTAAAAAAAATCAATACGCAGTTATGAGCTGCATAGCTTTTTAATAATATATTAAATTCAAAAATGTTTTACTCCATGTTTTCAAATAATGCAAATGAAATTTTCCTGATGTATTTATTAATTTTTTCTGGAGCGCGTCATGCTTAAAAAACATTTTTATCAACGAAATATTTTTAGGCACTAAGATACTAAGTTTTTTAGTGTATTTCTGTAGCTGAAATGATCTTTCCCCTCACACTGATGATTTTTTTCAGTATTATTTATATATTAACCATGACATGAAAAATTGATTTAAAAAAAACGTCTGAATATTCCCCAGGTGGGTGACTCAACGAAAAACCCTTTTTGTCCCGAAGAATAAGTTATCATGCATGTGATGCTCACCCATGATGTAGGTCAATTCGCAGCAGATGGCCTCGTCGCAGCAGGTCACTCTTGACTCGATCATATATATACAATATTCCATGTGCAACGCTAAGTGTCCTCTTTGTATCGTGTACGATTTTATTTTGTGAATTTTCAACGTGAAAAAGGGGGGAAACAAACATGATATTGACCTCTTTTGCGAGGTCGCCTGCGGATGAGCATTTCGTGATATATGCGAATACAAGTTTTGCGGAGTTGGTCGTGCAAAAAGTGATGTAATCGATGCACCTTATACCAAAGAGCCCTTATCATCCCACCTTTTTTTTTTTTTGTGTGTGACGCTACCCCATGATATTGTTTTTTTCTTTTTGTATGAATGTAACCGAAAGCATTTGATGCTTGTGAAATCACATATGATGGAAATGCTGTACCATGTTGAGGAACAAAGCTCAAAGTTGACCATTTGCGACTTGATGGCTCTCTAATTATGTGGTTGGGAAATTGAAAAGGATACGCAGAAATGAACATTTTTGGCAAATGTGTTTTTTGCATTCAATGATATTTTTTTTACAGAGCCACCAATACTGCAGGTGATGGTACCATTAGCATACATGGAGAATGATGAGTAATGTACCTGATTCCTTTGAATATTGAGCTGGATGCAGTTTCTTCCTAGAATTGGTTCAGGAAATGTGGCTCATTTTGCCAAATTTCAATATGAGTCATGAGGATGAAAGGAGATTTATTTACCAAAATGCGTTTATTGGTGGATGCTGTGGTACCTTAGCACAAGCACATACAGTAACATATTATTGATCACCATGCAGAAGAAACTGCAAGGTCTATTACGAAATTATGAATTAGTTACATACTGTGAAGATACGCATTTTTAATTTTGCTTGAGTTGCCAAATGGTTAGGTATGCACTGATCTTCGACCTGGATGTGTGTTAACCAGCGAGTTGCCCATTTGGTCCCTGTGGCATGGAGGTCATGAGTTGTTGAAAGGTTTTCTTCTCTGAGAGTTCACATAGTTGCAAGAAGTGTCACGTACGGTTAATACTGATAGATTAGCTATGTTTATTCTGCAAATAAGCTAATCCCCTTGGAATGCCGGTGAAGGTTTCTGAGGAAATCTGTCAAGGTTGAACGTCAGATCATGTTATGCCGGCATTTTACCAAGTGTAACCGCAGCCGGGCCGTCGGGAAAATCCGCCGAATGCTTTGTGTCGAAACTGTTGATGACCTTAGGTAAGTTCACACTTCGGAGGATACATCATTTTATTTTGTTGAGCTTTCTCATATTCGTGATGATCATCAGTTCGAGTGCAGCGACTTTTTCGGAGGAGTACTTCTTATAAAACGAGTAATATCATTTTTTATATGTTCTGGGGTGTTTTTACCGAGGTCGTTAGTGCTTCCGGAAGCTGAACTGGGGGGTTTCGGTTGTTTCCGCGTGCGAAATGTGGTTTCTAGGTTTTTCCGCTAGCTCATTTTTATTGTGAACTTGATTCATCTTTACCTGCATTCCGTGGAAAAGTTCGTCATTTTGCGTCTTTGCGACCGTCGCGTGCATTCGTCTCCTGAAACCCTGTGAACGAATTTTTGAAACCTGTGCTTTCCGAGTTAGTGATGAGTTATCGAAGCTATGAGCACCTGCAGTTATCGAAGCTCTCGCATGCAGAAGAGTACTAATAATAATGCTCAACCATCAGATCTGATTCGTGGATTCGTGTACCGCCTGTTCCAATCTTGAACCCGCTTCTCTCGTGACGGTATCATTTTATAAAAGTGTTTGAAATCTCGTAAGGATGGCTGGTGGTTCGAAGCGACCGACTGGGAGTTCCGATGGTTGTTCCAATCCTCCGTTCCTCATAGGGGTCACTGGTGGAACTGCTTCCGGAAAGGTGAGTTTACATTATAAATTGACCCGAAGGTATTCATATGTCAAATTTACGAATTCTGAACGCGCTTAAGTCATTGGTGCTCTATGGTCACATGAACTGAGGTTTCCTGGTTTTATCGCATTAACATTTTCTGATGATCTCGCTCTCAGAACATTATTGATTGACGTGATTCCCTGGATATGACCATAGATTCTTCGTTACAGTCAACCGTATGTCATCGTATCATGGAGATGCTTGGACAGAACAACGTCGCGGAGCATCAACGCAAGGTGGTTTGCATCAGCCAGGATTCGTTTTACAAGGAACTGACTGATTCCGGGAACAAATCCAAGGCTATCAAGGGATTGTACAATTTCGATCATCCAGGTGAGAAATTCTTTCGTGGAGAATGACGATGCGGAAGTACCGTAATCGCTTGATTGTGATACGCAAATTCTTGTTCAACTAAATTGTTTATTTTTATTATGGTTCGCTTGAAACCTGAACATCGTCAAACACGTGAATTTTGATTTCAACCTGTGTAAATTTGTGCATCAGGCTAGAAGCGGTCAATTCACATGATATTCTCGGACGTACACTGTTTTGCTGGTTCTTGTGAAATTTAAGTCTCTCTTTTGTGATATGAGGTTGATTTTGTCAAGTAATGTTCTTTGTTACGCTGGGTTTAGATGCATTCGACGAGAAAGCGCTGTTTGAAGTCCTGGTGGACATTCAGCATGGAAAACCGTGTCGGATACCCGTGTATGATTACGTGAACAACTGCCGGTAAGATTTCGTCGTATGCAATTGAACCTCGATGACTTGAACCGCACTATGTCAAATTATTTCAAATACCTAGCTGAATTCCCTCACAAACTCTCCTCTCCTCGGACCTCCATGACTCGAATTTACTGCAGGCCTTTCATTATTATTTTATTGACGCAAGGAATATGAAAGCGATACAAATGTAACTCGATGTGTTTTGGAATATAGGGCAAATGGACCCTTGCTTCCGAGTTCAGCATCCTTTCAACTCATTTAAGAAGCACTTTAAGGCCCAGAATATTACCCATTTCAATTTTTGAGATTCTTCTTTATTAAAGAATGTTTTATTCCATGACGCGAAACCTCTGTAACTCGACTTTTTTGATGATCCCTTGAAGAGAGGTTCGACTGCGGTGTAACCCATTATTTTTATTGTATTCTTGTTTTTGGTTGCAGAAAAGAGAACGAATTCCAAGTAATCCACAACGCAGACGTGGTGCTTGTGGAAGGCATACTAGTGTTCTACTTCCGGGAAATCCGGGATCTGTTCGATATGAAGTTGTTTGTTGACACGGACGCGGATACGAGGCTCAGCAGACGTGTGCTTCGAGACACCCAAGACCGAGGCAGGGACCTCAGAGTCGTACTCAACCAGTACGTGTCGCTGGTTAAGCCTGCTTTCGAAGAGTTCTGTTTGCCGGTATGTTCCGACTTCCCGTTTGACTGGGTGTGGGGAATTCTTCTCCCGAAATTCTGTTGATGGAAGAATTACCCGCATTTTCTCAAGTACTGTACCGCGCATACCGTTTATGGTACTTTCCTGTTATCTCAGTAACTCATTCCTAGACCGTTCTACCATCCAGACGAATCTTCAGGACGAGTTCATAATCACGACGACCTACCAGAAACTGGGAATTTTATTTTTCCGCATTCTGCTGAAACGGATTTTGGCGGGCGGTTAGGTAAAGTTAGGTTAGGTCAGGTTAAATTGGTCAGAGGGAAGGGACAGAGATAACAGGAAAGTAGGTACAGAGATAACGGGAAAAAACGTTCTAAACGAACTCAAAGAACATTGCGGCTATTCGACAGGGAACAAAAAACGAATTCTCTTAAAAATCGGATGGTGAACCGGGAGTTGCGGATAATTTGCTGAGAAATGTTTTCTTGAATCGATTAAAGATTGTCTTCTTTAATTTTTTTGCAGACGAAGAAGCATGCCGACGTGATCATTCCGCGGGGAGCTGAGAACGTAGGTGAGTGAAACGAACTTTTTGTTATATATATTTTTCTTTTTGCAAGTGGGCAAGAGAGAGATAGAGGAAAAGAAAGTCCGGGTCGTAGCTTTTGTTTTGTTTTGTTTCTTTGTTTGTTCGTTGCGTGCTCGAAAAAGAAAAAGAAAGAGAATCGTGAGTAGGCTTTTGTTTCGTGGCCTGATGTTGAGTATGTGCGTGTCACGCATTCTTTCCTGCTGGTGGAGCAGTCGCAGTGTCCCTCATCTACCGCTACATTGGAGACTACCTTAGATTACATCCACGACTTGCGCAGCTGGGCGTCAAGGAAGACCTGTGCGGCCAGAAACCCGACCGGAAGCCATCCAGCATCTTTGCCTGCTGAGCAAAAAAAAAAAAAAAAAACGAACCCGTCTCCGAAAAAATACCCCAGTTTGTCCATCCTTGTCGAAAATAGTTTTTTTTTTTGGCCTGGGGGTTGGACTTGACGGAAGAGACGTGTTTTCTCCTCTTTTTTTTTTTTTCCTGTGGAGGACGTGTGTTGTTCTGTTTTATTTGATTCTTTGGGGCTGTTCTTCGTTCTGACCAATGCTCTTGACTCAGACGAAACTCCGTGTTGTGATTCTTTGGCTTTCTTGGGAGCACGCTGATTCATCTTCAAATGAAACTTGCTCAGTTCGTGCTGCTTGAAAAAACATTTTTACACCGGGTTCCTTCCACCTTCGCTTGAGGAAATAATACACGTGAGATTTGTCGAGTTGTTTTTGCATGCTGAGAGTCTCAGATCGTACTTACGTACGTACGTCCATTCATTCATTCAAAATGACAACTTTTTTTTTCTTTGATATATGCTGACTCAAATTGGGTTTTTGGGGTGATAATAGTTGGCTGCTTATTGGAGATATCAGTCGGTGACGTTTCAGTGCGTGACCTACCTGGAATGTTATGTTTACAAGCAAGATTATTGAGGTACAGTTTAAAAAAAAAAGTACAGTTGGATCTTGTCGAGTTGAAACTCATTCATGAAAAATTTGTTTCATCATTTTCAGTCCGAATATCGTCATGAACAGTGTGAAAGAGGTTCTTTACTATGCAATTCTCGCTACAATGTTTTGTTTTCTGGTCCCATGAATTTTTATGTGTGCATTTGTATAAATCTCTGGAGTATTTCTGGATTTCTCACTTCGAACTGTATAATATAATTTCTGGAAAAGCGAGAAAAATGTAACTTCTTTTTTTTTGTAAAGAGAAGTGAGTGATGAGATGAATGAACCATTGCCTCCATGTTCAGGAATATTTTGGACTGATCTACTCAGTAGATAAAAGTGCTGACTATCTCAAATTTTACCTTCCTGTAATTCATGTTTCCCAGCAGTAATGACTTTTTTTCAACTGAAAAACTCGTTTTTTGTCCATCTGAGTCAGGTTGATTAGTGATTCTGGTTGCTCAACTGAAGGTAATATATTGAATCTCTTAAATTTGGTATGATTCATACTATGTTGCTTATTCCCCTGAGCTTTACTTTTTTTTANATTTTGGTACTATGTTGTGCTGTTGAACTTCAGTTGATATTATAACATGAGTATGCTGACTTACTACAGGAGGTTTTATGTTTTGATAATGAGTTCATACAGTTTAGAAACTAGGCAAAGTTGGGTCAGGTGGTCATTGAATCTACTTCAATTTGGTCAGTCACATACTGGAGCAGTACCCATTGGGTGGTTTCTGTTGGAAGTTCTTTCACCGTGGAGGGAGGAGACATTTTTTTTTGCGAAGAAGAGCGTGTATCTCAAAGAGCTCTGCCCTTTTTTAATCAGTATTTTTGAAATACATTTTTCCCTCTCTTGAGCTGTGATGGTTAAGGTGGAGAGAACCGCGGTTGCATTCTTCCAGCAGAAGTCCGGCGAACGGTGCCGGGATTTTTTCATTATCTATTTTACTGAATTTATATAACGTTACCAAAATTTCAGACTCGTTTTTACGTGCTCTTGAGCGGGTGTAATTGATGCCAGGAAGAAATTTATACGGATACCAGGGATCCTTCTAAAGTTCATGATTAAACGGGGTCGCCTGGGTTTCAGGAAAGTGCGAGATTATCTTCTATTTTGCGTTAGTGTTCGGAAAATGAGAGTAATTTCGTTTAGAAGTATTTCGGATGAATTTATAGCTTGTGATTTTTTTGTTTCTGCGGCAGAAGAAAAAGCGCCCTGAAAAAAGGAGGTTTAGAGGAAAGCTCCCTTTTTTATTCTCGATCGAATATCTTTTCGTTTTTGTCGTTAATTGCGTTTGAACCAGGAATTTTCTGTTCTTGATGCTTTTCGTACATTTTTAGAATTCCTGATTTATTTGAAACAGTATTTTTATTAAAATTTATCGGAAGACATTTTTTTTTCCTCGGTGTTTTATGTGTGGTATCTTTTCTCCTGGGTGCTTTTTTTCCTGTCGCGTATTTTTTTTTTTGGTGGACACAAGCATTTTGTGTTTTATCTCAGAAGTTCGACTAATAGTGAGACTCTCAGCTTTCTCGTGCGATATACTTTCCGGCGTTTTTGTTGTTGTCAATGTTGTGTTTTTGAATTAATTGGAAGAAGGCGAGATATTGTATTCTGAAAAAGAAGGTGTTGATGAGTTGGGGACCAGAAGAGAGCGAGAAATTGAAAAAAAGAAAGACACGAATTTTGCTCGAGTTTTTCTTCTTCCCCCCCTGTTGAAATAAAAAAGGGGGGGAAGGTTGTGGTGTTTCCTCCAGATTTCACGTTTTTTGGTGTTGTTATTTTTCTCTCCCTCTTTCTCTGTTTCTTCTTCTTCTTCTCTTGGTTCTTCGCAGTGGCGATTGACTTGATCCTGAAGCATATTCAGGAGATCCTGACGGCGAGGACTGAAGGAAGACGTGTGTCCATGGGAGCGGTGAATCGCAGTCGGCATCATTCGGACTCTTTGTACAAACCTACGGTTCACTGAGAGAAGAGAAGGAGGATTTGTCACCTGTTCCTGAGCTCTTCCTCTTTTTTTCTCTGCGAGCAATTTTTTCTTAGCTTTGATGCGTTAGTTGATGTCTTGATTTCGAGCTAGCTATACAGATAACCATGTGTTCAGGTCATCAAATATGATTCAGTTTTATTATGCGAGTCAATCGTTGTCGATTCAGGGCTTTTTGTGTGTGTGTGTGAGTGTTCTTGTTGTTCCTAAAACCGTTTTGGTGTCAATGAGCATATTCTGTAGGAGTGTGGAAGGAATATTATCATCGTATGTACTGAGGATTTCCTATTTTTTAATATGTTTTGTTGCCTGATGGAGTTCGGTGAGGCAATCGAAATGCATCTTTTGATTTCAAAAAACCTTGCTTTAATTGAGAGATTGTTTTTGTTTGGAAAGCATTATTTGTGTGCTAGAATTCAAAGGCGTGTGTCTCGAATATATGCTGTCTTATTGTGTTAGTTCCAGAAGTATGGATTGATACAGAGGTGACCTTTCAACTAAACTTAAAGGAAGAAGA